ATGGCTTCGCCAGTTGTGGGGTTTAGACAGTTATCTGGCGCAAGTCTTAATCTGTCTCATTCAAATCTTGTTCGCTATCGTTGCTATAAGAGAACTGTGGGTGAACATCAGTGTATTTGCAGATTTGCGTGTTTCTCTTGCGACGGGCGTATATATGGTACATGGTACATGGTACATGGTGTGTGTGTGTGCGCGCGCGTGTGTGTGTGTGTGTGCGCGCGCGCGTGTGTGTGTGTGTGCTCGCGCGCGTGTAGATTGTAGCATAAACTGTATGGAGAAAGTTGTGAGTCTTGCAGCAGAAGTGCAGGGTGTGATTTCCAACCCACTCAGTTTCAGAGAGAAGAACGTTGTTCGTTTCCTCTATCTTTGTACTCATGATCTGTTTGTTGTGGATGTCAAGTGCACATCACATTTAGTGTTCACTACTCTCCAGTGTATATAGTGGAGAGTTGTACTGGGAAGACATCTGTTACATTTCCAGTATCTACAGTACATGTATGATCATTAGTCACGGCAAGAGCAGCAGTGCCACCATCAAGTCATCTCCACTACCCTGATACCTGCCAACACACACCACATAGATTGCTACAAAGTAGCAGGCATCATCAGGGAGAATGCATTAGGCTAGCTTGGACACATAACACGGATGTGTGACAAGCTTATGTCAAAGTAAGGTATGTTTGGACAGCTCCGTGCAATGCGTTCTCAGCATGGTCCCCGCAGGCGATGGTGTGATGTGGATAGTGAATGATATGCAATCCCTTAGTCTGTCCCTGTTCTCTAGGTGTTGGCGGATAATGCTTGGTAATATGGGATATAATGCTCTCAGTAATGCTCCACAAAAGGCCATGTAATGCTACAAATAATGCTGATAATGCTCCGCCGGATGGAATATAAACTCCTGAACCTTGCGGTATCGGGCTAAGAAAAACGCTTTAATATTGCATGCTATGCAATGTAGAACGCACAATCTGGATTAGGAGATTAGGATCCGCCGCAGAGGCTCGAACGGCCTCAGTAAGACCGGTGCCGGCTAGAGCTAGAGGCTAGAGGACTCCTTGACCAGCTTCTGCCTCTGAGTTTCCCTCTCCAAACGGGACTTTCCTTGTTTGTGTCTCGCGGTAGCAATATGGGACATGATTATACTCTTCTTCCCTGACAATGTTGTATGGCATGCCAGGCACACTAACTTGCCACAGTCGCTTTTGAGCGGCTCCGCACCCGTGTTTCGGCACTGATGGCCGCTTCAGCGCTCTGTCCGAGCTACTCGCGTCCTTTTGGAAACATTTTCAGACTTGGTAATAGCTGTTTTCTGAAAAGACCGCTTCCTCGCTATCGCGGCAGGATCTGCAGTTTCCAACTCGACGACGTCACTATCATCAGAGGACTCCGCCAAAAGCTCATCTGGAGAAAGCCCAGCTTCCTCCCAATCCCGAGAACCGCATCGCGGCGAGTCAGCCATCAGCGTTGGCTGCTAGTTAGCTGGTCTTACACAATGGTCAATGTCCGGTGAAAATCCAGCTATACTGTTCGACAATGACATGGACTCTTGCTTCGATGAAAAATATTTTTTGTAACATTGTGGACGGTAACCGGGTAAGGTCTGGAATGTGTGCGTGTGCGCACCTCCACCGTTCCATGCTGGCTCACATTTGTTTCGTTGGTTCGGCGTTGTTACCTGAATCTTCAAAAAGTAAGTTAGTTGCTGGCGGAAGATAGACTTCCGGGACCGGACGTTTCTGCGAGAGTTTCCACACTGAGACTGTGCTGGACCACAGCTACATGTAGCTAGCACTAATAATACTGCATGCAGTATACTGAGCCTGGCACTGCGTGCCACGATCTGTTTGGTACCATGCATGATGTGTACGTGTGCGGTGGTCTATCGCTTGTAGTAATACATCGCGTATAGTAATAAATGTTGACAATCAAAGACCAACGCTATAGCCGATACGAATTTGTACATAAGGATGTGTGTAGATCTACTATGCAGTCATGTAGAACGTCGTATAATGCCATTTTTGGCCTCGTAATGCTTTATAATGCTCGTAATGCTCCGGGTGGTGTATAATGCTCGATATAATGCCGGCATTATCCGCCAACACCTACTGTTCTCCGTTGACTGCTGCTATACTGGTGTCCAGGTTGGTTTTGTTTACACCCACGTTGCTCATGGTCGTAGTCACACTGGACCTACTCCAGGTCGAGATCGATCAAGGTTTACACTGTACAACACACAAGGTCTGTAGTCAATACGGACATCTCAACCATCACACACCATACTGAAAAGTAGGTAAATACATCATGTAGTCCCGTCTCTAACATTCACTGGGTTGATGAACACAGCTTGGATCTGAACAACGGACTGTGATAACATGTAGTTATGATCAATACTACTCTCGAACAACAACACTACTTCATTCATTCACTGCTGATTTCTCTGCTCTTTCGATTTGTTCGCTCCTCCGTGCTCATTTGACAACATGTATCTGATGCATGTTGTTGGTGTTGAGGAGTCCGGGACCATTCATAATAATACGCGAATGACTGTTGGGACATTCTTCCAAAACATGACGTCACAGAATTCGTAAAAAAAGACAACTTTTGGCTAGCCTGTCGCAAGCGCGAGACTCATCATGGGCGCGCTCGAGCTGCAGCAAATGCGAAGCGCGACACACGCGCGAGCGCGACCCAAACTGTGTCACGCGCGTGTGCGTCGAATCTGGCCGTCATGATCGCCTTCGATTATTTATTTTCGTTCTACTCGACAATTCCAAAAATCAGTGCCATTCATTGGCTTTAGCTTTGCCCTTGAACTTGAAATCTCGTGCCTTATTCTTTCTTGGGGACTGGTGTTGGATATTGAACGGGCGGAGTGACCGCGGGGATGATGGATGAATTAGATGATGGCCTAATCTTGGCTGCGCGCATTCTCATTTTCGCGTGGCCTGCCACTAGTGTTTGATTCACAAAGGGTGTGACAGGCATAGCTGGAGGAAGAAAGGTGATGTGAAGTTCTGCCATCGCAGCACTGTATAGAGGGCCATTAGAGGCTGTGTAGGCTGTATGTAGCGTTGTTTGATTTAGCTCAGTACTGAGCTTGCACCACACCACAGGTAGCATATTGAGTATTATTTACATTTTCCATATTACTTGAACCGCTCTGTGAACGTGAGCGGTTCAGAAAAACTTTTACTGGCGCTGCCCCGTCGTAAAAGTAAGAAATTAAAACTTGCTCATTGTACCCCCAAATGTGAACTGATCCACCTAAATCGCGAATGACGTGACCCGAACGCAGCAGTAGCATGATGGTGCACTTGTGGTGTGCCGCAGGGCTCTGTACTAGGACCCATGCTGCTCTCCATATACACCAGAGATATCCCCTCGGAATCTGCGCCGGCATCATCACTGCAGTTTGCGGATGACATCGCCCTGACACGTGCAAGACGGACAGCGCAAGAGGTGTCTGATGCGCTCAGCTTGGTGGCTACCTCCCTCTCAAGTTGGCTGGACGCTCGTGGTCTTGTATTAGATGCAAAGAAGAGCAATGTATTGGTTTTTACCAGCAGCAGTGGGCAGCAGCCGGACGTGGTTGTACGCTGTCGAAATGATGTCCTTCCGCACACCACCAGCGCGAAATACCTCGGCGTCTTAATCAATGAACGAATGGCCTGGCAACCGCAAGTTGACCGGTGCATCTCACGCACTGCTAGGAAGATCGGTAGTCTGTGGCGGGCGCGACGCTGCCTCACTCTAGCTAGTCGAAGCAAGTACTTCCTATCTGTCATCATGCCGGATTTGATATATGGATCGGCAGCATATGGCTCCGGCTTGACCCACAACCAGCTCTGCCTAGACTGCCTCCCGTTCATTTCTGTGCTCCTGTCTTTATTCTCGCCAGCCGTGTACTTCAGCATTTCAATTCTGTGCTCCAGTCCTCTTTATTCTCGTGAGTTGTGTACATGTACTCGTTTTGCTGTTTTTCTGGTTTATTTGAATTCGCACAGTTAATGTGTAAAATATGTACTTCAGTTATTCTCTCCTCCCTCTTCTGAGTTTGACACTCCGCTGGCCTTCTCTCCTCCCTCTTCTGAGTTTGACACTCCGCTGGCCTTCTCTCCTCCCATCCCCTTACATCGTATTGGGCCTTTCGCACACACTACATTGTCACATAGCACAACTCAACCATTCGCTACCCTGTTATTGAGCACTCCTGCTCGTTTGGTCTCGCGAATCCAAATAAAATCAATCAGTCAATCAGGTTCCTACCTGTGGATGCAGCTGGGGACGCTGGTCCACAGGCCATGGTCGTCGATGAACTCCCATGTTGGATATCCGATGGAAGTAACTATGTGACTAGCAAAGTTACACTGCCACTGATACCATGTACTAGTGATGGTGATACCCTATGATGTGCTGTGATCCTGTGCCCTCCCGACCTCGTGCTACTGGTGCCTTCGGGTCCCGTCATTCGCGATTTAGGTGGAGCAGTTCACATTTGGGGGGACAATAGAGAGGTTAAGATGCACGTTATTTCTGAAGTGACGCGAAAGTTCAGCTCGCGTTATTTGCTCGCACATCGAAAAATCAATGCGAGTGACCTGCTGCTCACGTCGAAATTTGGAGTTTTACGCCAAATTTGACGTGAAATTGCACGTCAAGTCAGAAATAACGTGCATCTTAACCTCTCTAATGCGCCAGTTTTAATTTCTTACTTTTACGACGGGGCAGCGCCAGTAAAGGTTTTTCAGAAGCGCTCACAAAGCGATTTTTATATGGATAATTTCAGTTCTTTTTCCGTTCCCTCCCCACCCCAACCCCGAAGGTAAACATGATGAACACGCGCGCGATGTACTGTATGTAGGCATGAGAGTACGATAACACACTGATACATACCAGCCCTCTCCACCTCGCTTACCCCGCACACAGATACACAAACACGCGCATGCACACGGCACACATACTCACATGCACACGACACAAACAGGAAATTCTTCATG